AGAGAGAGCAGAAATGCAAAAGGGGGGGGGGGCACAGAGAGGGGAGGGACGCAATACTTATTGTGGCCACTGGGAGCAACTGCAGCACCAAAATAATGGCCAGCAGGGCTGGGGCTCTGCCATCTTGCCTGCCAGCAAAGTGGTAAGGAATCCCCCTACCCCAACCCCAGAGCAAACTACTCCAATGGAGAGCCTGTAGGCCATGGGGAGGGAGTGCTGGATGGGAGGGACAGCCCGCAGATCTTACTTCTCCCATGGAGAGCTTGCAGGCTGTGAGGCTTCAATGCTGGGGGTGGGGGGACAGTCCCCAGAGCCTGGCCACTCTCAGACAGCCTGCAGGCTGTGGGGGGAGGAGAGGGCCAGCTGTAGGGGAGAGCACCCTGCTGGAGCCTCAACCCCCCACAGATAGGCTGCAGGGAAAGGGGTGTTGGAGGGGATTTTGAAGTGTCCCCCAGTCAAAAATTATCGTCCACCCTGCCCTAACCTCTGTCAGACTGGAAATGGGTGATGGGAGAGGGGTTGCTTGAAGATTCCCTGTTCTGTTAGCTCTCTCTGGGGATCTAGCATTGGCAACTGTTGGAAGTTGTCTGACCCAGTATGTCCGTTCTTATTTTCTTATGTTCTTATTTAAATGGTTAACCCTTAGGGCTGGCCTTATTGGTTATTGTTAATGTATATACTCAGGTTCCCACCTGGTTCCTGGGGAGCTACCTGCTATCCCACAGTGCTGGCTCAGTATCAGAGGCAGCAGCATGGGGCGACAGCCAGCTCCCTGGCAGTGGGGCCAATGGTTTTGATACAATGGAACAGGAGACAGAGAATTCAGAGTTTGAGGTGTGCCTCTAATTTTGCTGTTTCTTCCACATATGCATCGTTTGTTGTGCTTGGGTTGGTGTGGTGGAAGGTCATTTGGTTTGTTTCATAGATAACATCTTTGATGCTGGGACCAGAAGGGAGCATCAGTATCTCTTCCAACCTATGCTGTTGTATAAGCCATTAGTGCAGGAGCGGGTAACCTGAGGCCTGTGGGCTGGATGTGGCTTGCCTGTATCTGGGACTCAGGGCTCTCCCCTGTTGTGGGGAGCCTGCTCTGGCACTCCAGCCCCTCCCCCCTGCTGTCCCCTTATGTGGCTGGAGCACACAAAACCTACTAGCCTGGACTCCTACTAACCTGGACTGGATCTGGTGTGCAAGGGGAATGTCTTTCCCCTTCTCGATTGGGGGCCACATCAGAGAGGTGTATGGGGTTTTTTTGTTCTTGTTTGGGGGGGGGGAAGGGGTTGCACTTGTTAGTGTGGTCCCTGACTAATTTTTCTGAGAGTCAGCAGCCCTGACCCAAAAAAAAGTTCCCCACCCTAGTTTATTGTGGATAAACTAGAGATGGAGAACCTACGGCCCCCGGCTTGTCTGGATCGGCCCCAAGGCTCAGTGCTCTCCCCGCCCCACCCCCCAGCATTGAAGAGCCTGTGCTGGCACGCTAGGCTCCTACCCCCTGCTGCCATACTGTGGGACCAGAGCACACAAAATCTAGCCTGGGCCCCCCTAGGCTCTGGTGTGCAAGAGAAATGTGGGGAATGTCTTTCTGCTTCTCAGTTGGTAGCCACATCAGTGAGGCGTTGTTTGGGGTTTTTGCTTCTCACATATGTGCGGCCCCTGACTGATTTTTTTTTTTTTTTTTCTGAGTGTCTGTGGCCCATGACCCCAAAAAGGTTCCCTACCCAATGTCTGAAATGGAGGCTTCTAAGTGCTGGGAGATCAGCCTCAGCTCTGACTCCTGGTTCAAAAGTCTGGCAAAGTTTCAGAACAGTTGCTGACTTTCTTGGGGCAAATCTAAGGTGCCAGTCACAGTCAATTGGCAGAGATCAACTGTGATACAGCATAAATGCATGGCCTCTTACGTGTTAGTGTCTGATGAAAGAGACAGCCCTTTAGAGGATAGCCCTAATGTTCTGGGTTCGCCTATTGAAATACAAAAGCAAACCTATGAGGCTTGGTTTGCAGAAGTCAGAGCTACAGCAAAGGATGACGTTGAGGGCTAGGGCCATAGTATGGGACCATCCCATGCCCAAATTCAAGGACATCAGTTGGATGCCCCAAACCTCATTTTAAGGTGGTGGCTGCTGCTGCTTTGATGCCATTGATTCTTACTGGGAGCCATAGTTACTTTTGTGGCTCAGGTTTACTGCATCAAACCACTGGAACATCCCTGTTTGAATTTTCCCGTTGTGAAGTATATGTCACAAACAGATTTTATATGGCCATAATTCAGCCTATTATCTGTTCATAAACAGTCCTTATTCTTGTGGGTTAAAACATGTTTTTAGAAATGTGGAAAACCATTCCTCAAAGGTGTAGAATCAGCTGCTTTTCAAGACCATAGCCGTATGCATTTACTTTTCCTGCTGTGTAGCAGTGGACTTTTTATAATATTGGTTATGTTTAAATTCATATATTACTTTGACAGGTAAAAATAGATAACCAGCGGAGGGGAGAAGACCTTGTGTTAATAATGTCCAGGAGAAAGTCGGAAAGCAAAAACCTTGTAGGTTTATTGTCCACATCTCTTCAGATGCGAATCAAGATGGATAATTTTTACAATTTTTACATTGTTGATCCTAAAGAACTAGGAAGGTAAGAACATTCTGTTTGTTATGTTTTGGGGGAAAGGGTATGTAACTTAACAAGCAAGAGAAATCTCAGCTGCAGAGGGATATTTGTTGAAAGAATAATATAGCCCCAGCCTGTGTTGGGTTTTCTCGTAGCATGCAGGCGAGATGAAGTGCATTTCTTCCTCTGTTTGTATCCTCAGACAAATGGAAAGCTCTCTGTGTGGTTTAGGGGAAGATGTCAGATAGATGGCTTGCTGGCGTTTTTCATACAAATGTGCAGATTTGTGTCCACAATATCCTCTCTACATCTGTAATAGGGAGCGTGATATGTTTTTCCTTACATACATATGCTTCAGCATCTTGCTGAAGCATAATTGTAAATCTAAATAAGACATGGAAAATTTTCAAGAGATAGATAACATGAGGAGTAATTATAAGAAGGAGTAGAAGTCAGCATTTCCTAAAGGCTTGAAAGCAAAGTCTTGCCCTTCAGTCCTCCGTTTCCTGATGTTAAAAGCTTTGCAAAATGGACAATGACTCGAAATACATTGTCAGCTCTTCATTATACATTTATTTGCCTTTCATATATGCTGTGTATTAGTGAAATTCTTTAAATGTCAGTATTCTTAACTATCAGCATTAGTATCCGAGTCATTACTAATTAAAATGAGAACTCCTACTTTCAGGCAGACTGAGCTCACCAGTTAGTCTCATCATATTTGCAAAGTTTTCTTTGCAATCCCATTATCTAGAGACTTTTAGATGTAAGTTGAAAATCTGGAGAACAAAGAGGGAGGCCTGTTAGCCACTCTTCTCCACCCTCTCCTGCTAGTCTGGGGAAGTGCTGGTGTACTGATCAGTTGAAGATACTGATTTTAAAACATAGGGAGGGACACTTTGGTTTTTCTGGAGATTGGAAACAGCATGATAGGAAGCACAAAGCCAACTGTAGGAAGGAGATGAAAGGAGGAGTATGGCAAGAAGAATGGGAAATATCTAGAAATAAGAATGGAGATGTAGAATGTAAGATCTTTCTTGAATTTATGGTAAGGGCCACATACCTTTAGAAGCTCTTCATTGGCTAGGATAATGTGCTTGGAGCAATGGAAGAGTATGATCCCAGTAGTCACGTTTACACAGATTGCAGTGGGGGAGATGAGAGAGATGGAGAAGCTAGCACTATTCATTGCACATAACAAAGATATTGACAGGGAGATGGGACAGTAGGAGTGAAAATGGAGTTTTAAGAAGGAAAACTTCAGCAAAATGTTTCTATATCATATCAAACGTGACAGTACATTCATATAGATCTTACGTTAAATGAACTTTTATATCTGCATACCATGTGGGCATGGTGTTGCTTGACCAGGGATGATAATAACTATTCATTTTTGTATCTCACTGTTAAAATATAGTGAATTTCTTGCCTTTCTACATGGTTTTTGTTATCAAAGTATCATTCCTTGAACTAATTTAGGCCACTTGTCTACTTCCTAGAGGATTGATGCTCTAGTGATCGATCTTTCAGGGTTCAATTTAACAGTTCTAGTAAAGAGAACAGCTAAATTGAGTGCTGAGGTCTCCCCTGTCAGCACCGACACACTAGCAGTCACGAGGAGTAAGGGAAATCGATGGGAGCATTTCTCATTGACCTCCCGCTGGAGAGGGTGCTGAGTTTGTCTTAAGGTAGGTCGACTCTAGCTACAATATTTACATAGAAAAACTTAAAAAACAAGGAATAGTCTAGTAGCACTTTAAAGACTAACAAAACATGTAGATGGTACCATGAGCTTTCATGGGCACAACCCACTTCTTCACATGACTTGAGTATTAAAAGTCCAGATCCAAGAATGAATAAATGAAGGAAGGGGGGAAAGAAAAAGAGGAAAAAAAAAATCTTTTTTTTTTTTCTCTCTCGTTTTCTCCCCCTCCTCCCCCGACCTTCCTTTATTTTTTCTTGGATCTAGACTTTTTTAATACTCCAGTCATCTGAAGAAATGGGTTGGTCCACGACAGCTCATGATACCATCTAAATGTTTTGTTAGTCTTTAAGGTGCTGCTAGACTATTCGTTGTTTACGTTTTTCCAGTTAGTCTGTTACTCGGCTACCCTTCTGAATTATTTACATCCGGGGTGGGCAAAAGGGCCTCTGCGGGCCGAATCTGGCCCACCAAGCGGGTGGATCCAGCCTGTGGAGGCCCTGCTGCTCCCCTGCCCCAAGACCAGTTAGTGGGGTTGGGAGACCATGCGAAGCCTCCTCCCGCCCTGCCAAGAGCATGTGGCACTTTGAAGCACCGCGCACTGCTCATGGGGGTGGAGGGGGAGGGGAGAGAGCGGAGGAGGCTTCATGTGCTCCCCCGCCCCAAGACCGTAATTGTCCTGGGGCAGGGGAGCGAGGGAAGCCTCCTCCCACGCCAGGGTCATGGGTACCTTGGAGGAATGTGGGGTGGGAGCAAAGGCACTCCTTCACCCCCAAGCGAGGGAAGCCTCCTCCCACGCCAGGGTCATGGGTACCTTGGAGGAATGTGGGGTGGGAGCAAAGGCACTCCTTCACCCCCAAACCAATCATTGTCTGAGGGTGGGGAACTCGGAAATACCTTGGTCAGGCCCCTTCCACTCAATGCCCCGCCCCTTCCTGTGCATCCCAGGGCCATGTCAAAAATTTCCTGACTGGCCCCAGGGAAAAAATTATTGCCCACCCCTGATTTTATGTAGTTGGAATTGTGTACCTTAAGTCAACCTCCCTCTGCCCCTGCAGCATATTCCCGGCTTTAATTGTTTCAGTCTTAACTCATCTTACAAGGTTTTTTTTCTTAATTAGCACAAGTTTAAAGTCATCGTAAACATCAAATAAAAAGGAATTATTACTAGTTATGGTTACTGAAGTATCCTCTGTTCATGAGCTACTGTCATTGACTTTTGAAGCTATTGTTCACTCTTAAATGGGAGGAAGGTGTTTGTGAAATTAGGAGGAAAAATCTGATTGTTCACATGAAATTTAAATGGTTTCTGTTTGTAAAACTTAACTTTTTGGTTTGTAGAATCAAGCAAATGAAACAGGAGCTTTTGGGAGTGTATCTTCAAATTTTATGTCCCAGAATTTCAAGTGATCCGCATTAAGTAACAGTTTAGTGCAAAGCATTTTTTACAGCTGGGATTCACAGGGATTTGGAGCAATCAAATTTTTGAATTGCTCCACTCCAGCTCCTCTCCGGCACCAATAGTGACTGCTCCAGCTCTGCCTCCGCTCCGCGCTTTGACTCAAATTAATTTTTAACTAAATAAAGTGCATACTGTAATTTTGAAAAAACATTATTTTTATTGAGTTTTAAAACAATTTAAATGTCATCAACAATGAAACAAACCAGAATCTTTCCTAATTCAATCTGTAAAAAATTATTGCAGCAATCAAGTCGTCTTTCATAGCCTGCCGCAGATCATTTAAAATGAACTTTAAAGCCGAAAACAGTCGCTCTACACTAGCTTGAGTTGTTTGCATGCTTGAAGTAATTCTACAGGCAGTCTGAATGCGGTGTGGGTAGCTGTGAATGGCCTAAAAACCAGACTTGACTTTTAGCCTACCAGTAGACTCCATCACCTCACAATCTTCCCGAAAGTTTCTCTCGAATAATGCTTCATTACAATTATGAATCACAGAAACTCGCTGGTGTCTTTCTTGTTTATCCAATTCCTTTTTGAAGTCGCCGTCTTCTGAAGAATTGGTGCTTGAATTATCTCCATTTCCCTGTGATGGTAGAAGACGTCTCAGGGATGAAAACTTGAACAAGTTCAGAGTGGAGATGAAAGTTTGAGAACAGCCTGCTATTTCTGAAGGATTTGAACTTTCCAAAACTGCAAATTCGATTGTTGATGACTTTTTGTTGTTTCATTTTCTTCAGCCTCTTTCGCAGAGTTCAAATGTAGCAATAGATTTTGTTTTTCAAGTCGTTGAGCAATATCAAGGAGCCCTTACTTTGCCTTTGGTATTTCCCTTGAGATGAGAAGAATCCGATACCATGGGTCAACAACCTCCAACAAGGAAATGAATATTGTCAAAAAGCATCTCTTCGCGTTTCTGCATGGAGGATAGAATTCCTTCTGCAATTTGTCCACCATTTTCTTGCAAGAATTTTGATAGTTTTCGCCATTCCTTCATTAAAACTCCCGGGGTTACATCAACAGCTTGAAGATTCGCAGTTGTTTGGTTTGGCTTTGCCAGAGGTCTCACAGGTTCTTAACTTCGTCCCATTCAACTTCTGTTAACTTGAGTTCTCTTGTTCCAGTAGCAGCCACTTGTTCACAGTAAGACTGAAAAACAACAAGCCGATCAATCACCGCAAATGTTGAATCCCAGCGAGTCAGTATCCAATGATTGAGTTACCCCACTTAGATAAAGCAGAACACTTCGAATACTTGGGGTTCGTAGTTTGACAACGACTTGTCGAATTTTTGCCAGTAATTTCTTCACATGTTCTTTGTTCAGTCTATCCCAGATTGCCAATTGAAGAGTGTGAATACCACACCTCATCAGTTGGACTTTTGAGTCAGCCTCATGAAGCCATGTTGGAAGTATGAAGCTAGGGTCATTAACCTATTGCACAGCAGCATCCATGTTGAGTTCAATTTCATCCATTCCTTTAGTTCCTTCTGAAGCTATTTTCCCTGATGTTCTGTCCATGTCCCTGTTCTCAGAGGTAGAAATGGTTTCATTGTCCTTGCTGAAATTTTTGATGGCATACGTCATGTTTGTTACATTGTCAACGCAGATGCTCAGCACTTGCATTTCACTTATCCCAAATTTTTCTAAAATAGTTTTTATTTGACTTTTCACGTAGGAAGAATTGTGACACCCTTTAGTGTCGATTATGTCCAAGGTTTTTATCACAGCTTTATCTTTTCCTTCTTCGTAATACTGAGCATTGATTGCAAGGAAATTTCTGTTTCCATGCATCCATTTTCAGGTAGCACAATTTTTGCTCCAAAGCTTTCTTGAGCTCTTTGTGACCAGACTCAGCTGTGCTG